ATGTTTTGTAATCCTAACTGGTCATTTGTCGGGCTACACGTCGGATAACAGTATTCATCCCCACCCGCCTTCTCACCCACGCGGTCTCTGGTACTTTAAAGTTTCAACATCGTGGTGGTGTTTTTTTTTTTTTTTCTTTATCACCGAGGCAGGAAATGCACTCAAGTGAATGAAGAAAAAGTCTCACGTGTGCAGAAAAGAGAAACCGCTACAACTTCCACTCTCAGCCAGGAAAGGTGGTAGGGGGGGCGGGGGAACACGCTTTCTTTAGCGTAGCATAAATTTAACCTCTCACACGACGTGATGCGTGTTTGTTTGCGAGCCCAAGTCGAGAAACACTCCAAACCTCCCTGGAGACACGTCGCCCGGAGAGAGAGGTTTGTGAGGATTCAAGCGTCTGTGACACCACTGTTGCTAGGGTTCCTCTCTCAGCGTGCATAAAGATTTCAATCCCAACTGCTCAAGTGTTTTGTCAACCCTTAAACGCTTCGACAAGCAGAGGAGTTTTCCAAGGGGCAGCCAATGGAGACATTTGTTCCCATGTAAAAACATCACACTCAGAAGGAAAACCTTTTGAGCATTTCTATCATATCGTTGATATCCAGCTTAGGCTCTATGGACCTTAAAATGGATATCAAGGATACTGTCATTTATTTGATATCTTTGATATCTAGCATGAGGTTCAAGTATCAGTACACTCTTTGTCCCCCTTCGTAAAACAATTTTGCACACTTGCAGAATGACTTGTAGCACACTTTTGACCGACTAGTACATTGAGATGTAATAATATCCAAACATTAAAATAGGATATTATCAGGATATGAACCTCACAATATGATCATTATCATGATATTGTGGGTAGGTTGGCGATATAAAAAAGGGTCACCATGACTGTATAAAAACTCACGATATTGTTAAAAAAAAAAAGATCATGATGACGAAATAGTCATACTAGTGTGCCACATTGTCTTACTGGAGCAGACAAAGAACATACGAGTGTATGACCTAAAACTAATATTCAGGGTATCGAATAAATGTTAAAAATAAGGTTAGTAGTGTGCAGATTTCAGAAATGCCATACAATAATGAAAGGCAGGAGTGGAAGAGGATTACGAATAAGATATACTCATTCTACTATTGTGCCCAGTTCGTTCTACTCGCGAGGACAAAGAGCATATGAGGACATGGACCTTAAACCGGTTATCAATGATATCAAACGGCCTCATCACCTTGCATGTGACTGTAGGCGACCCGAGACAGACACAAAGGCAGCATCCAGAACCCCCCACACCCCCTCCCACCCCACCCCACCCCGCTCCCCAGAGAGACCTGCTGGTTAAATGTGGTCACATGAAAATGCATTTATAACCCACAATAAGGAAAACATTTTTTTTTTTCATCGCAAGGCCAAATGGAGAAGAATTTAAAGCACAGGCTTCATTTTCATGTGAGCTTTGAATATCGAACACAAAGATGCACAGCATACAGAGAGACAAACGCGTGCGACTGGTGCAGCGTTGGAAGACGGCCAGCAGTGCTTTGTCATTGAAAGCAGTTTTTTGTGACAAGCAGAATCCCCCCCCCCCACGCTCCCGCCCTCCCCTCACTACCCCTCCCTTAAACTAAGCACCATCCTCCCTGTGTGTTGCCCATCTTTCCTTATCCGCTTCCAAAGGTTATCCCAGGATTAGAGTTGCATCAGCAGTTGCGTTGCTGGGAGGCCACACGTATTTAAACATTTTTTTCAAAAAGGGTCTAAATCAGACAAATTTACACTGGAAAATTGAACACTAACGATACCTCTTTGTAAGCAATGCCCCAATTTACATAATATACCCTCCTATAGCTGCTACACAGCTCAGCAGGTTTCAAATAAGAAGCTGAAGTTTCCATGTCATTCTTTAAGTCAGGAATCACTGTCAAAGTAGAACAACATCAAAATATGTTTTCTATCTCATAAAATGCTTCACAGCTGAGCACACTGACATACAAACACACATTTAACATACAGAGAAGTGATACGAGAGCGCCGCTATCTTAATGCTAACGTTCATGGTAAATTAAAATTGAATGCTAAAATTAGCTTAGCCAATGCGTTCATGAATGTAATCTCTTGTTATCTACTGTAACTAAGCATTCCATACATAGTATGATATGTGGATATAAAACACAGCAAACATTTTTTGGCAAGGAACAACGATATATTTAGAATTAGCTTTCCTGCTATCTCTCACTCTCTGACTTCCTCTTGCCTGGAGCCTACTTCCTCTCACCTAAACAAGCTACAGTTAGGAACACTAAAGACACAAAATGAACAGGACTTAAAAACATCTATTTTCAGCTAACTAGACATGATGAATTTACAAGTAATGAGCCGTCACAATGTTTTCTGTTGCTTTGTTTTGTGTGCCAAATTTTGAGGTAAACGTGAGTTTCAATTTTGACACCATCAGGAGTGAAAGGGGGGAATCAAATTTCTTTGCATTATCTATTGTTTATTTGTTTCCACAATATGGTGATGCCTTTCTTTATTAAAAACACATTAAAATAGATGAATGGCCCATCAACTCATTTCAGTGGGGAAATTTAAGGATGAAGTCATTTCTAAAAAGTCACGTTAAGTTCACTGAAGGCTCTGAAATGTGAATGTGATCTTGAATTCTTTTCTATCTATATTGGATTATTATATGGCAATGGCTTTCGAGTCATTTGTCAAACAGCAGAGTGTGTGTGAAATGTAGCCAAACTGTAGCTCGAGGTGGTCATAATGCACATTACAAACCGCTTGCCAGCTGCCAACAAAAACAAGGAAAAGAGGACTCGTCCGCTGTGGAATCTGAGGTTCCATAACGATAACACAATGTAATGGTTTGCTTATCCGGATCCAAGCTGAAATGTTATCCTTTCTTCCTGCGTCTGTGCGTGGTAAAGAAAAAGGCCAAACATTTACGGCAATGCTTCGGCAAAATTTTTCCTGTCAGCGACCATTTCCTATTTATAAAGTCCTTTGAGGGCTGTACTGAATTTATGAAAAATATGATGCAACAATCTGTCTGAAGTGTTATGGGCATTTGTGTCTTTTTACAAGCGTTCCTCTGAGGTTTGCGTCTGAGGTTATGTTAGGACAAGGCAACTGTTTATGATGCTGTTTGTGAAACCTGACTTGCTATGGTACTCAGCGATATAATCATATTGTCACAATTACAGAATATCCGGTGGCATACATTGGGCCTCTGTCGTGTGGAATCATGTACGCCTTTTATACCCTTTTCAATGGGCTCATGTGAAGTCCCAAGTTGTGAGTACATCAGTGTGCAACATGTATCCTGGAATACAAGCAATGTTGAATGCTTCCACAGGTATCATAATCCAGATTGAAATGAACTCTCTAAACTTTGGTTCCTGTCCCGTGTCCTGCTTTTCATGCTCTTTTCCTCGAGAAATAAAATGAGCCAAAATTTGTTTTGTCCCCCCCCCCAGTCAGGATCATACGTGGGAACTTTTTATTTTCCCCTCTCCACTAACCTCTTCCTCTCTTTAAATTTGGGCCTATTGTTATTGTCCAGTCCAGGATGTCTCTGAGCCTTTGATGCAGATCAACTCGCCGCCAATTTGGGATTTATCGCTCAAGCGAGGCTAAAGTCAACAATAAGAAATAAACAGAGTTTTTCAACCTCTAAAGCATATGTGTCAAACTCAAGGCCCGGGGGCCAGATCCGGCCTGCCTCATCATTTTATGTGGCCCGTGAAAGCAAATCATGTGTGTCAACTTCCATGATCCTTGCAAAAATCTGTACCGAAATGTCAAATTGTCATGTGTAATCCACAATAACAGTCATTATTCTTGACTTCTGATTTTAAAACTAGTTATCCATCAATTTGTTGTGCGTTGTGTATGTAATATGTGAAGGTGATTAAACATTTATATGGTTTCCCAAAATTTATAACGGCCCTGCAAGGGAAACCGTAACTACAATGTGGCCCGCGACAAAAATGAATTTGACACCCCTGCTTTACAGCAATGGTTCAATGTCTGGTCAGTTGGCTGATTGGGGTGTGGTGATGCTGCTGATGACATTTGTTGAGTCTGTTAGAGACTGATAGTTTGAGAGGCGTTTCTTGCATGCAAAAAGAGGCGCAAAACCACGCTGCTTCATCAGATTTCATATTGCAATCCCCTGCCGCACACTGAAACAAACATTCAAATCCCTTTTTTTTCAGCTGCCAACACGTAACTAATCTGTGTCAACATATCAGCTGGCAGACGTGCGTGTCGCTTCTCCCTTATGCAATTTTTATTTCTTTTTTTTTGTGCAAATAAAGTTCTCCACCGACAGTCCTACTTCAAACGGGCACTTGGCCATTTTGACAAAGTAAGGTGCAGAAAGTACAGTTAAGTTTTTAAATAGAACCGGTTAAATTAACCCTTTCATGCACCCTGCAACCCGATAACAAGATAAGATGGCCACTGTAGTTACCACTGTCCCTGAAAGGGTTAAGTATGGATAACCTGAAAAATCCACTGAAGAGTGGTACCCAACTATTTGTGCGCTTCTCTCATGCAGGCCTGCTGTTGTGCGGGGGTTGAAAATATACACGTGCTCGGGTACAGGCGCATGTCTGTACGCATGTGTGGCTTGCGTCTGCAAAACACAGTGCAAAGCCACGCTCGCAAAAGCATGCTCACACTCGAAACACACTTACTATTGGCAGGGCTGCAACCTCTTCACTCTCGCTTCACTCCAATCATGAAATCAGGAGCCTTTGTCTGGCAAAACTCTTCGGCTGAACTCCCATTGAAACCTTGAACACGAGTGTTTTGTTGCCTCGTGGTTGGATTCTTTGTTTGCCACAATATTTGCAACCGTCTTGATGGTGGAGGTGGCAGATGCCCTCGCCGTGCTGAGAGGAGTTGTGTTGTGTTCCTGACTGATGCTGAGTCACGCATACCACCACACTGCCTTGACTCACCACTTTCTTATTTTCTCCTTCTGTCGCAGGTGGTTCCAGAAAGTGAGTCGTTCAATGGCAAAGGGGAGGCTCAGATGGATGTCCCCCACACGGCGGCAGAGGAGGACGAGGAGGAGGAAGGCCATGTACGACATACAAAAACTCCTCCCGTCACCGACGCGCTTCGCCACAACCTGGACCTCGGCAGACGGCCGGCACTTATTCAGCGAGAGCTCGGGCTGCAGCTGGGCAACATTGCACTTCAACAACATGTACGCTCTTCTGTGAATTTCCTCAACGGTTCCTCAGAAAACCCGACGAAACCTAACGGTGCTAACGTGACCGCCGGGTGTCACACTGACCTGAAGTCTGCATACCACAGGGCTATGATGGCCTCCGAGCCTCCACGGAGCATAGTCGACAGCATCCCCTCTCAGAACGGACCCAAGACTTCTCCGTATGACACGTCGGCCCCACTGAAGAGGATCAAACTGGAGGAGGATGAAGAGGCGATCGCCGCACATTTTAGTGACCAAGATGACGTCTGCGAAGACCCTCTGTCCACATTGGCGGCGGTGGTGTGTCTCTCTGTCACGGAGAGGCGAGGGCTGGAGGAGAAACTCTTCAGCTCACGTCCTTCTGCTTTTCGCCGCATCAAAACGGAGCCACCAGATTTGCACTTAATCAAGAAAGAATCCGAGGACTTGAGGAGTGACTTACTGAGGACTCCCCAGACTATCAAAAGTGAACCGCCTTCAAACGACCTGTTACCGAGCGTGCAGTCTTTGGCAGAGAAGAGGAATCTTAGTTTTGACCAGGCTATCGCCATTGAGGCCTTAACTCAACTGGCAGCTATACCTCAGCGCACACCAGTGTTTATTGAAGACGAACGCAATGGCGAACCTCATGTTTCTGCGGTCACACCGCAAGCGACCTCAACGCAAGAAGCCAAACCAGCAGCGCCAATCCGCTACAACAAAGTCTCGGTCATTAGCTCACCGGTTCACCAGACATCAGTGATACACCCGCCTGTGGCCAGACAGGGTAATGTCATCCAGCGTTGCCAGGGCTCGAGGCCGACTGACTTCACAGGAGACGGTAACGGGGCACCCTGCAGGAGGACGTACCAAGGCTTCGGTTCCCGTGTCATCAAGTCCGAATACAACAACTTGCATCCCGGCAGCGTGCAGCTCGGTAAAGACCGCGAGCGTCACTTTTGGGAGGACCGGGAGAGACCAAAGACGATGAGGAACCGAGACGAGGAGGAGGTGGCAGCCCAATTGGCCGACTTGGCCTTCATCATCCAGTCCCGTCAGAGCCAGCCGTCCGAGGGCAATCATATGAAGGGGACCCCCGTGTCGGCTATCAAATACAACTACCACTCGCAGTTATCCCCCGGTCAGAAAAAGACCCCCGTAAAGAAAGCGAAAACAACTCCTTCAAAGCCCAGGAAGAAGAAGATTAACGAGGGACCTCAGGAGGGAATCAACCGCAGGACCCCTCTCTCAAAACGCATGGCCAATGGAGATGCCTCCCATCGAAGCAGAGGAAAGAAAACCCCCCTATCTGGGAAATCAGGTCTTGCCCATCGAAGGAATCTGTTTCTTCCTCAGGCTCAGATTGACCTGAAGAGATACCTGGCTGAAGCCCAGGAGGAAGCAAGGCAACTCATCCATCACAGCGCGCAGACTCACCACTACAGGACCAACGATGGCCAACCTTCTGAGAACCAGCTGTTGTCTTATCTGCACAATCCACTCCACCGTCACGATCCTGCCGCAGGACCAGGGCAGGAAAGGTGTTTGTTAACTCAGGTAGCGCAGCTCTACGAAGGGCTGCCACACGGTGCTGATCCCGGGGCTGCTGACCTCAGCCTCGCCGCCTACCCTGGTCCCGCTAATGGCCTCTTGGGTGCTCGGCAGTCCCCGCCTCCAAGCCAGCAGAGCTACTACAAGCTGGAGAGGTCGGGGCCTGTCACTATCTTGTCTACATCTGCTGATGGAGACGCGGGCCAGTCGGCGGAGTCGACTCCATCCAAGCACAGCGTCAACAGCTTCCTGGAGTCGCCCATGGCTTTTCTGGACACCCCGACAAAGAATCTGCTCAACACACCCTCCAAAAAGCTGTCTGATCTTCCTTGCTGTCAATGTGTGGGTGAGTTGATGCGACCAGGGAGTTGATCTTTGAGTTTCTGCTTTCCTCCTCCTTCTTGGTGCACTTGTAATGGAGCTTTGCAATGCGCCTTTGCAGCATCACATAAAAGTCCATTAAATAACCCAAACTGTTCAGGGTTGCAGTGTAGCCCTCATCTCTATGAAGACTAAATTGTAGGCGTGCATATGAGTGTGAAGGGTTGTTAGTCGATATCTGCCCTTGATTGGCTGGCGGCCAGTCCAGGGTGTACCCATCCTATGGTCTAAAGTTAGTTGGGACAGGCGCCATTTCATCCGCAACCCTCAATGAATTAACATTTCCAATGACCATAATGTTGGCAGTTAGCTCCGGCCTCCCTATGTGGAGTTTGCATGTTCTCCCCGTGCCCGTGTGGGTTTTCTCCGGGTACTCTGATTTCCTCCCACATTTCAAAAACATGCATGGGAGGCTGATTGAACACTCAAAATTGTCTCTAGGTGTGAGTGTGAGCGCGGATGGTTGTTCGTCTCTGTGTGCCCTACGATTGGCTGGCAACTGGGTCAAGGTGTCCCCCGCCTACTGCCCGAAGACGGCTGGGATAGGCTCCAGCAACCCCCGCGACCCTTGTGAGGATAAAGCGGATCAGAATTCGTTCAGTTTGGTCTCAAACAACCCTCCGCAGAATTCTCAACATTCAGTTAGTTATCTGATTGTGATACCGCTGTGTGTGCTGCTGTCAAGATGGATTTAAAATAAATTCTTTATTCCCCGCAGACCAAATCAGTGAAAAGGAAGAAGGTCCTTACTACACTCACCTTGGAGCAGGACCCAGTGTTGCAGCCGTGAGGGAACTGATGGAGACCAGGTAAAGTACCTTCATTCACAAACTACTATTCAAAAGCCATCTGAGCATTTTTTTTCGATACCAACGTACAAGTAGAAAAATTATCCCGCACAAGTAGAATGACCATCTTATAAGTAATGTTTGTTCCACTACTATCTTTTGCCATTCGCAAGCTACCATCGAAAAGCCATTTGAGCATTTTTTTTTCTCGATACCGACGTACAAGTAGAAAAATGATCCCGCACAAGTAGAATGACCGTCTTATAAGTAATGTTTGTTCCACTACTATCTTTTGTTGGTGGAGCACTGACTCCATATTCTTGATATCAAACTTAAGGCCCATGTACTCTTTGTACTTACGAGTCATACAATTCATGGAAACGAGGCATTTTACATGAGCATTTATTCACAGCGTGCTAGTTTTCATTCATATTTCAGCGCATTAGTAAGAACTTGAATAAATGCTCAAACGGCTTGCCGTGAACCCATTTCAGCATTTATTCCCAGCGCACTAGTTTCATTCATAATTCAATGCGCTCGTAAGAAATCAAATAAATGCTCAGTCAGTTTGCTATATTAATACTAGTGCAACTACTACCACTGCTACTACTACTACTACTACTACTACTACTACTCCGACTACTTCTCTGATTATTGTTATGACTTAGCTGGATGTGTGTGTGGGCGTGTTCACCGCCGAACATGCTGAGCGTGTCAAGTACGGGCTTGGTGGAATGCGGCAAGGTCACCGCCAAGGAGTCTTCCATTAAAAGGAAGCACGCTCAGCATGTGCACCTGACACACACTTGACAACTCACACAAACACGCACACACACACACACACGACATGTTGGGACAGGAAAACTGTGATGTAACCGACATAAGAGACTGTGTAAAACAGCAGTCTTCATTGGGTTAGGGGTGTCAAATGTGTTTTCAGTTCGCCCACGTCGTAGTTAGGGTTGTCCTCAGGACCAAACAGTGTATAGTGGCGAGACAGTAGCTTAGCTGTATTGAGTTTGTTTACAGAGGCATGTGGCTAGAGTGCAAGGCAGTGACACTTAATTAAACAGAATGTAATGAATCAAACCTTTGGCCACCTAAGGGCAGTATAATACAGTCATGCAGAAATAAACAAAGAAAAGTTTCACAGCAACTGTAAGTGACTCAGTAAGCTGCAGTTATAATAGTTTTTCACAAAGGATAAAAAAATATATGCCCGTGAGTATTGTGATCCTGTTTGTCTGTCTACGTGTGTTGCTGCAGTCTGCGTTCAAATATCCAAGAGTTGTGACAGCGCCAGTTTTCAGTGGCTTTTTTTGGGTCTCTTAAATTTTTTTACCAGAGCTGTATGTTCTGTGTGGGAACCTTAATAATCAACCACAAAAAATAATTCCTCCTGCATTTTTTAATTAACATTTCTATGGCAAGTTTTGAACAGAAGGCAAACAATGATTTTGCGGGCCACATCAAACAATGTGGGCAGCTGGATTATGGCCCGTGGGCCCCATAGTTTGGCACTTAGGTGTACCGAGTGAAATATCAATTGGTCATCTGCATACTTGTGTCGCAGATATGGCGCCAAGGGAAATGCGGTGAGGTTGGAAGTTGTTGTCTACACTGGAAAAGAAGGAAAGAGCTCCCAGGGATGTCCAATTGCTAAATGGGTATGTGGCAAGCATGCATAAATACTGTGTGTGTGTGTGTGTGTGTGTGTGTGTGTGTGTGTGTGTGTGTGTATGTATGTATGTATATATGTATATATACATATGTATATACAGTATATATATAATTTTATTTAATCCCATAAGGCAATAATAATGGCAGTCGTGTGTGTGCGTGTATACGATCACGTGACAGGTTGTCCGGCGAGGCAGTGAGGAGGAGAAGCTGCTGTGTTTAGTGCGGCAGCGGCCAGGGCACCACTGTGACACCGCCGTGCTGGTCATCCTCATCCTGGCCTGGGAGGGAATCCCGCGAGCGGTAGCGGACCACCTCTACCAGGAGCTCACAGAAACCCTCTTCAAATACGGCTCGCCCACCAGCCGACGCTGCGCCCTCAATGAAGAGTAAGCGCTGAAGCTACATTTAAACCATATGCTAAGGCGGAAGGCTTAATTGCATTTATTTAATAAAACACAATTTCTTTATTTGGCTGATAAATAGGAACGTCCATGCTAATGGACGACCCGTCGTGTGAGCAACAACAGCAGTCTGATGTGTGCTGCCCATGTAAAATAAAATAAAAGTGTTGACGAGTCTGTGATATTTACAGACTACAGAACGGGACATTACGTATTAATTTATCATTGATTGGCGTGTCCTCCGAATACAATGTTGGCATTATACGTCGGCCTTTCAGTCACCACTTTCTGCCCTGTTCCCCTTTTTTGTTTCCCCTTCACAGTCGCACTTGCGCCTGTCAGGGTTTGGACCCGGATACTTGCGGAGCATCCTTCTCCTTCGGCTGCTCGTGGAGTATGTACTTCAATGGCTGCAAGTTTGCCCGCAGCAAAGTGCCACGCAAATTCCGCCTGCTTGGTGACTACCGGGAGCAGGTACGGGATTGTTGCCACGTCACTGCTGTCATAACCAAAGCAATCACGATTAACAGTATTATCCTGATACTGCAGTAGTAAGAGTTCTGTCGACCCAAAAATCCCATTCAAATTTGCCATGCAGTGATTCTCATATTTGTACCACCTAAAAAAAAATTGATCCGGTTTTAATAGCTAATCTTTATGACTTGCAGGAGGAGAAGGTAGAGAAAAACCTCCAGAGTCTTGCCACTGACCTTGCACCACTGTACAAGTGCCTCGCTCCCGAAGCCTTCCAGAACCAGGTACGAAAACCTAAAACGCTTTTATTTCACATTTCCGACCTAGTTTTTACTCCCTCACGCTTTCAGTATACTTGGGTCTACTACACAATGATTGCTACTGTTTTTTCATTTATTTGTAAATGACATTCATCCCACTACTCATCTTCTTGTCATCACCTCAACCCAAATGTTCCTGCATTTCTTTTCCAGGTGGAACAAGAGGAGAAAGGGGACTCCTGCCGGCTAGGCTGGAGGGAGGGGCGTCCGTTTTCAGGAGTCACGGCTTGCGTGGATTTTTGTGCGCATGCTCACAAGGACAACCACAACATGAATAACGGCAGCACTGTGGTAAGCGAGTTATTATGTACGCTGCAGCCGCTGTCTCCACTCCGTACCGGGCCACACAAAGAAACCGGACCAAAAATATATATTTTATTGATCATCAGAGTCTGAAAGAAGTTTTACTTTAAAAAACAGGTCCGCTGTGAAAAAAAAAAGGTTGGGCACCACTGTGACACAAGATGCTACAAGTCATTCCAAAGCTCATTGTTTCGCTTGGTGACACTTCTCCTTGTTTTTCGTTCAGGTTTGCACTTTAACAAAGGAAGATAACCGCGCGGTTCGGAACATACCGGAAGACGAGCAGCTCCACGTTCTTCCGCTCTACAAGATCACCGACAGGGATGAGTTTGGTCGTGTTGAAGGACAGTGGGCCAAGATCCAAACCGGTGCCCTCCAGGTTCTATCATCCTTCCCAAGAGAGGTAAGCAGATATTGAAAATCGCTTACGGCCGTGGCCATGGCACGCAGAACGCAATGAAATTGTGAATTTGACTCTTATTTTTTTATTTTTATTTTTTTGTCTGTTTCGTGTCAGGTGCGTCTGCTAGCTGAGCCGGTGAAATCAGCCCGCAAGATGAGGCAAGAAGCTCGTTTGAAAGCTCAAGCTGAGAAGTTGGAGAAGAAGCTTGGTTTGATCCCGCTCACTCCTGCTAAAGTGAAGCGAGAAACCCCGACCAAAGGTGGTAAGTCGTTGATCAAGTTACAGATCGCTTTCACTTCGTACAGTGTGGAAGATTGATGAGCCTAAAATCGGTGAAGTGGAGAGAGGGACAAATTGTTAATTTCATGTGTTTACATTCTTAACTGTACAGCGGAAAAAAAAAACTGAGTAATTGATGTCCCTCTAAAAAGGTTTATTGTGTATTACCTCATTCACTGACAGCGGTTTATTGCCAGCCATTGCCAAAAATTTGAATTTAATTTTTCAAAACCCACGGAATATTTTGTTCTGTGACACTGTTAGAACCAAACCCACCAAGAGTCGAAAGTCTTTCACCAGAAAAATGAATTTCTCGCTTTTTCTCTTCACAAGTCGCCGATGGATTGCTTGTAGCAAAAACGCCGGTTTCTAACCAAAATGTGAGGAAAAAACAAGCTTTTTATGAATACAAACATGTCAAATGACCATGATGCTGATCCACCGCATGGCTCAAGTCTAAATTTTTACATCTCCTCCAACCCTAACCATCAATGTAAAATGAAACCTTGTCGGTGGAATGCTTTGTTGTTGTTTCTATGCATGATGTTACTTTGAAAATAAGATTTCAAATCTTAACATTCCTCCCGGCCTGCAGACAATTCCTGATGACACTGAGGCAGGTCCTAGTCAGTCAAGAGAGGATCTACCACGACTCAGCCACAGTAGAAAAAGGACTGCATGAGGAAGGAGAGGCAAATGGAATTCAGGAACAAGAAGCAGGGACAGAACGAAGAGAGACAGGAGGTGACACAGAGAGAGGAAGTAACGATGACATTTACAAGCCAAATCAACCTGACCCGAAAGAGCAACGCAGACAATATTATTGCTTAGTTTGCTAAATTATGATGAATTAAAAAAGAGAATCATATGAAATAAGGCTCGAAAGTGATGAATAATAGCGCTTGACTTCCAGCTTTAGGATTGTGTGGGCGTGGGTGCTGAAGCCAACCTTTGCCTGTCAACCGCTAGCTTGTTTGATTGCTAGCTCAGTGGCTCACAGTCAGGTGAACATAATCAACAATTTTGTGTTTTTGTGCTGGTCTCGCTTGGTGTCACCAACTACCAGCAGAGCAACAGCAGGATAAGATAAGATAAAATAAACTTTATTTGTCCCACACTGGGGAAATTTGCAGTCAGGATGCTGGTCTTGCTGGTGCCACTAATGACAAGAAGCAACGGCACAACAACACAGCCAAGATTCAATCACCTTCAGTGACTGGGTAACCTGCTCTACCAACTGAGCCACAGCTACCCTTCGTAGCTGATGACAGCAGCAAGACCAACTGGTCACCAGCTATCACCGGCTCTTGGCGGGGCAACAGCAACATGCCGGCCCTGATGGGCAGCTGTGGCTCACTTCATAGAACAGGTTGCAAAGTGACCGAAGGTTCAGCTGTTTGAATCTTGTTTTGTTTGCTGCTCTTGCTGGGGACACTAGCAAGATCATGCTGGTTAATGCTGGGGGGGGTTCATCCCTGCTAACAAGGCATGCTTTTAAGCTTTTTATCCTGCTCTAGTCTACTGTACGTCTTGTTTATCGATGACAAGAGAGCAGCGCATGCCGGAAACACGTGGCCAGTCGGTCTGTGTGTTCAAATGCGCTGTGGCGAATCGCGGCAAATTCTAGGACGAATTGAATTTCACAGGCACTGTACAAAGGTGTGGGATCGACACTCTGTTCTCTCCGTTGAATGCGGACTTTGTTGGTTCCGGGTCCGTTAAATTAAGGTTCCTCTTTAGAAACAAGTAATAAAAATGACTTTCAGTACAGTGTCTTTAATCCATCTGGGTTTTTTTTTTTTTTTTGCTTTCAAAACAGAGCAACATGCCCTTTACAACAAAATATCGCCTCGCCCTGCCAGCGTGGACCGGTGCCAGGCCAGCACTTACAGTCAAAGCACCAGCAACTATCACCAACAGAGGGACCTCGTGTCCCCCACCCACCACCACCACTCGCCCAGCTTCCCGTTCGGACCAAGCCGCTCGGTCCCGCCGTATCAGACCACCAACGACGTGGTGAACTGTTACCCCGGCGGCTTCCCGTGTTCTTTTAAACGTGAGCCCGACGAGGCGCTCTCCCCGCCACGGAGACCCTCGACCAGCTGCAGCACCCCTCCATCCTCCTCCTTCTCCCCTCGACCTACCTCTGAGGGCCTCTACAGCAGGCTGAACGGACTCCACGGCTTCGAAGAGGAAGTGAAGCAGGAGGAGGTGTGGTCGGACAGCGAGCACAACTTCCTGGACCACGACATCGGCGGCGTGGCGGTGGCGCCAGCGCACGGCTCCATCCTCATCGAGTGCGCGCGGCGGGAGCTGCACGCCACCACGCCCATCCTCAAACCCGACCGCCGCCACCCCACGCGCATCTCCCTGGTCTTCTACCAGCACAAGTCCCTCAACGAGCCAGGCCACGGGATGGCCATGTGGGATGCCAAGATGGCCAAGAGGGAGCGGGAGAGGGAGGAGGAGGAGGAAGAGGAGAGGTTGAGGATGGAGGAAGGCGGGAGTGGACGAGGAAGGCAGATGGAGGAGGGGGCGGGATCGGACGGGCAGGCCGCATGGAAGGCCGGGGACGTCCCCACGCGGCAAACGTGGACGCTACCGAGGGATGGGGTCATCACCGTGTCCCCTTACGCCCTCACACAAGTGACGGGTCCTTACAACAGCTGGACATAGTCAACACACACACACACACACACACACACACACACACACACACACGCACTGTGCTTATTTATGCCTTACCTCAATCAACTTGAGACTGCTTATCTTGTTTGTTTTTGTTTTTTTTGTTTTTAACTGGTTTTAATCATGCTCTTCTGATACCTGTCTATCAAAAGCCACTTGAGTATTTATTCAATCTCCTTCATATTTACCTTCAAGTCTTTTGACGTGATGGTCCAACTCTGGCATACTAGTAGGACAACTACATGTAAAGTGAAGCAAATACAATAAAATAATTTATTTAAAAAAAAAATCTGTGCACTCGTAGAATGACTGTATCTTACTAGTTGTGTTTTTCCCTTCTCGTATGGTATTGGCATATGAAGCTTATAAAACCCCTGGAGCATTATTTGATATACTTCATATCCATCTTAAGGTTTTAGTAAGCCAGAAGTGGGACTCGCAGTGGAAAAAAAACATTCCTAGTAAGACGCAGTCATTCTACCAGTAAGGAAAAAAAGAGTACATGGGTACCTTAAGCTAGTGTACAGTTTTTCCTCACAAATAAACATGTAGTCGTGTTACTAGTATGACAAAGTTGTCCAACTGTTGTGCAGAAATGTCATACAGTCACGGAAGGCTGAATTGTCTTCCAACTTAGCTGGTAGGAAAAAAAAAACAACTACTTGACTAGGAAGACAGTCATTGTTGGAGATCGAATGAATACTCAAACGGCTCGCCTTTGTGCTCCCTCGTCTTCCTCGGTAGGGAAGACTAAAATATTTGGGGCTCCCCCCCTCCCCTTTGTTTTAACTGTGAGTTTTATGTTTATAAAAGAGATGGTGCTTTGAAGCATTTTAAAATACGTTTTTTTTTTTCTTTTTTTACTGGTTTTATATATACAGTTTATATGGTATATATGTGTACACACGATAAAGAACAAGAAACGTGATTATTTATTTCTGATCATTTCTATTTAATTCCCGGTGTTAAGCCTGTTTACTGCAAGAGTCCTATGATAACCAGTTGCATCCGAATTAGAATGACAGTGGTACCTTGCTTTCGTTTCCGGTTCAGTGCCATTCTCACTGTACACACTATATCTCATGCCTCTATTTTACTACGGATGATCTCATGTAGCATAATGGCTTCACACATCTGCTTCTCTGGTTTCTGTTGTGAATGAAAGAAATGATTTGTTGTCTGGAAGGTTGCTAAGAAGCACTTTTTTTTTCCCCCCATTTTTTCCTCAAGCCTCACTTGAACACTTGTCCCAAACGTTAGGCCTAATTATTTTTGTGTGTCAATACATTTTTTTTAAACACTTAGCATTCAGAGTAATTTTAATTTACGTCAACAAAAAAGTGCTTATTATGAGCGGCACTTATTTTATGTATGTTCACTTTCTTGGAAAATTTGAATTATTGGAGTTGGGGTGATAGGATTTTGGAACCTTTTCTGACTCGCTGTACATGTTATTGGTGCTTGTTAAAACCTCTATTTGTCACATAGGCCAACATATTGCCAATTTTTTTACTGTATTTGCATCCAAAAATTGGGGTGCAAAGATACCGATTTCCACCATCTTAGCTGATTTTTTAAATGTTGGACTTCACTTCAGCTTTTGTTGATGCCCATCATCCATTTAAAGGAGTTTTTGAGAATTTCGTATTTCCTCCACAGCATCTGACAGAGTCTAAATAATGTGATTTTATTTCATTTTAAAATCCAAAACGTCATATTAAGGACTTGAGAGAAATAGCTGCACAAATGTCACACAACTTGTGATGTAACTGTCTTGGTGCTAATAGGACAAGTTAGTTCACTGACTCAACCTGGTTTTATACTTATTACGGATGGTGCTCTTTCTAAAATGAAAATAAATAAAAATATGTTGGGAGTCTACACAAAAGTAGTTTTGATGCTGTTGTGACACACATTTGATCATGGTGTATTTTTAAAGTTAAATGCAAATCATAGTCCAGTTCCAATGTCTTCCGGAACAACAAACACACAATGAAATGAATGTAATGTTTGGAATCAGTTGATTTACCGGTAACCCCATTTAAAAAAAAACATGTTGTATCAGCTCACATCACAAAATGACAAGAGAGTTTTTTTCATCAACCACAAGCTATCACCAGCATTAAAAAAACTTGGGGGGGGAAGAAACGTTTTACTAGTTTAAATGCTGTGTAAATATGTATGTGAACTATATTGTTTTTACTGTACTGTGTGTAGACATGGATGCTCTTGCTTATTTTGCAAAAGAATTACTGTGTGTGGCAAAAAAATATATAATTATCCATTTTAGACTTGAGAAGAGACTAAATTTTGCATTTCTTTTCTGGATGTCTGATCTCTTTTGGGATTGTGAAATAAAGTCATATTTATATTTTGGACTCAATCATAATATTCTGTTTATGGTTTGTCGCATTTTTAAGCAACTGCATTTATAAGCTACTGTATCATAAATGCTCAGCTTTTATTTTGTTCCGTAAGGATCTGTTTTATAGCCCACGCTTAACGTTTATTCCCACAAAACAATACAGTGCTTGATGTAGGATAATAACATTTGACTTCATGCTGTGGACTTTGTTCTCGTGGTGTGTAAGGATGAGTCACTCACTTAATTTGATGCACTGTGACTCCAGAACCAATGATGAGATTGACTTTAACCTTGAAAAATATTATGGATACATATATACAAAATTCTGTTATTAAAATAGACATTTTTAAAGAAATTACAATACGTCATTTTGAAATTGTGTCAAACTGATTAGATTGATATCTTACTATCAAATTAATATTTTGATTTAAAAAATAAAAACAAAACTGTATTGGACACAAGGTTTTATAATACCCATTTTTTAATTTATATAGGCATTCAATTTTACTTAATACGGCAGGTGGCAGTAATTTATTTAATTTAATGCGGCAATAAACTGGTGCCTGACGGCCATATTTAGGTTTTCGTTTTATATAGACCAAGGTACCAGTTTGTTATTCAAATTAATGATATAATTACATTAGATCATAATAATAAAATTATAAACATGATCGTTAGCCTCTAATAACTATAATAATACATTCATTTAATGTTTAAGTGGCATTTGCGCAAATTAATTTTTACGATTTATTACTGTGGAGCTATTCACCTATGTTTGGGTAGTAAAGGCTTCCGTACGCGAGTGGCTACGGTGTGACGCAGCGGGCTTAACGGGCAGACAATTTCTACTGTCAAGATGGCGACATCGGAACCGGTAAGTGGAGCAAGTGCTAACTCAGAAAATCCACTCCCCTAAAAATAACTGCATCCCCTCTGTGTTTGACCACTTTGTAATTTAGGATCACACAGTGGGAATGGCTTCGAGTATATTCAAAGACGTCGGTCGCAAAGGGCGTCTTTTGGCGTGGATAGCTGTTAGCAGCATTTAGCATCCAGCCAGTGGCTCACTTTGTCGGCAGGGAAGGGAGGCTTGGCTGCTTGGGCGTCGCATCATTCAAACTCCATTCAGTGACTTGTTCGGATGAAATAAAAGCACACAGTAGGCTTACCTGTTCTAAATGTTAATGCTTCTACATTTTCGTGGCAACTTAAATAATATTTAACTGAACGTCGTCTTAAATCGTTTATTCAATTGTGACACGTGTGTGAATATGTAAGCTTGGAGCTAGGCTAGCCGTAATGCTAGCTCTGAAGGCTAATTAAATAATCATTAACGACAAAGAATATTGCAGCAACGTTAACAGTCGTGGCTTTCACGAACGTATTTTTCTGGAATTACCCGGTGTAGAGTAGCCAGTGTTGTAGATCATTTCGAATCAGCTGTAAAGTAGTTAATTCTGCTGACTATTCTCCTGTGGTGAATTTTGGGGTTTGGGCACTTTCGTTTGATCAGTTTCCTCATTTCGACCTTTTAGTGGTCTTTAAAGTTACACGTTGACATTTAAGGCGAGGGACGCGTTGAATAAAGCTGAGTAACGCACTCGAGGAAAGTCAACGCACCTTGACTAGTTATCTTGAAATTAATGTTTTAGTGTTTATTTTTAATCAAGAAAACTAGCACTGTGTTGTATGCTAGTGACATCAAACTTTAAAGGGGCATTCTAGTGAAGTAAGGTTGACTAGTCTGTCCAACACCTCACATACAGTGAACCCTTTCTATTTGCAATGCAGGACCTGATGACAGCGTACTCCATTTTTATACATGGTTACAAGTTGTTACATGAAATCTAGAATGTTTCTCTTCTTGATCAAAAGTGCGTTTTTCAACCAAAGTGTTTCGTGAAAAATTTGGTCAGAAGGTGGGTGGTTTACTCTCTTAGGCTACAAAGAAGTGATGATGACACTTTTTTTAATCAACGCTCACCAATGAATTTTTGTTCCTTTTGTTTCCATGCAGAAGGCACCCGAAACTGACGAGCAGCAATGCGACAGCCAAGTCACAAACCAGGAACAGTACATCAAACACCCTTTGCAAAACAGGTGAGAATGAAAACATGTGAGAAGCAACCCCAATAAAGCTCATATTTTCATGACCATCCGGCGCACTGTACTAAAAAGCGTAGTGTAAGTTACCGGTTATATTCCTGCATTTAACGCATACACAAGACGCATTGTATTATTTGACGCAGGCATAAACATAAAATGTAACACAAACATAAAACGTACTTCTTCTTCCTCTTCTTCTCCTTTCGGCACAACCCTATTCAGGGATCGCCACAGCGAGTCAGTAATTTCCATCCGCCCCTGTAAACCGTCCTACCAACTCGCATGGTCGTCTTGGCAAAAGTTTTACGCCGGATGCCATTCCTGACGCAACCCTCCCCATTTCTCCGGGCTTGGGACCGGCACTGGGGAACAGTGCACCCCCAGGGGAGGGCACTGCCCCCCAGCGGCTGGGTTACAAACATAAAACGTATGCTAGCTTAAAAAATACGGTAGTATACATTCACATTCAACAATGTACTCAAGTTATTATTATTACTATTATGGGTTTTTTTTTTTTTAATCAATCCTCATCCTCAAATCCATCCAAGTCCTAATCTTCTGTATCTGAAACAAACATCTGGGCAAGTTCACAATCAAACATGCCAGGTTCCCTCACGTCACAGTCAGTCTTGTTGCCGTGGGGCTCCTTGGAAATGATGCCGGCCGGTTTTTGGGAAAGCTCGAACGGCGCAAGCAGACGGTGGCTGAATCCTCTTCAATCCATTCACAAATTGTGGCGTCACTCGCTCGGCATTGCCGCCCAGTCTGAGTAAACCTGCGTTCGCCATCGCTCCCACGTCGCTCGCAACTTCCCTTTGGCCGTTTGTGTCCGTTGCCGTGGCAACCCATTGCGACAGTACAAGCCGACTTCACGCGCCCCGTTGTGTGTGTGGCTACCGTTTGGTCCCCTTCTTCTCGACAGTGTGACTCACCAGGATGACGAAAGTGAGCAGCACCTCGCTCGTCCTGGTTGGTGATGCAGTTGGGCTGGATGTGTTTGTCGGCAATCCATTTTTTGTATTTCAAATCTATTGAAGTATGTCCCACATCGCTTGCCGTAGCCTAAGCAGATATGTCAGAATGTGGGAATTGGTAGCGAGAGCAGTCGATAATGGAAACCAAGTCAGGATTAAAGAATAAAGGATTAAAATCTCCAAGAAAGCATCTTTATTGAATGTAACACAGAACATTGCACTTTTTACTGCAGTAGTAGCAGAAGATGGCCAGGTTTTCCTTGCAATCGCATGGATGTTGCTGCGCCACGGTCGCTCTTGCCCGGATGGAGAGATGCTGCCGTTTCATAAAACGAAAGCACCAAGGCACCATCGATTAGTGGATCTTGAGTTCTCTCGCGGCTCCTCGATTCCCATGGTCCTCCGCGAAATCGACAGCTTGCACTTTAAACTGTGCTTCGTTAGCGTGTCCCTTCGTAGGTGCCATTTTCGGGATGTAAATGCACATGCCATGCTATCGTCCGCATGCTGTTATATCCGCCTCTATAGAAGCAGCTTGTCGACACAACATCAATCAAGCGGAACCCTCATCGAAGTCACGCAACAGCATTCACAGATTTTGGAACTCGGTGCATACACATTATTAAGCGCCCCATCCATTTGGGAGAAAATTTAAGACTTTGATATGTGCCTTTCGGTTGTGAAAATATGGCAGGAGAAGCTTTTTCGATGGCAAGCGTGTTGCTTTCAAAGAGACATATCCGAATATTAGACAGATATATTCTGGGTGCAGCATTATCAAAAGCGGGTGGCATGCTTATTGATTGATTGATTGATATTTATTTTTTTTCATCATGATCGTCTGAGCGCCTGGTCCATTGTTGCAGGGTGTACACAAACAGGCGTCTGTCTACCCTGTCACTGTTGACGGCTTGGCTGCAGGGTGTGTGTGTGTGTGTGGGGGGGTCACGTTTTTAAGATTGCAGACAGGAGGGTATATTCCATGAGGTACCGGTTCCCCTGTACAACTTATATGAATGTTTAAGGGGAGTCACGGAGTTCAGCTGATGGCCCCACGTTGCCCCCGCTGGCCCCGCCCACTCTCCCAAACAAATGAAAGAATCACCTCAGTGGCCGTAAACAAAGGCCGCGCTTGTTTGCTGCGCTTTTCACTCTTGCCGGGCATTCGTATGCGTTCTGGCAGCATTGTCGTCTTGCGACCCCTCCCCTGTTTATCGCTCTCGTCAGCTGCCCATGGTGCTTGGGAACAACACTGGCCAATGCCAATGTTGAAGGCGTGAGACGTTGTCGAGTTGACTCTGAGAGCGTGTCCGCCCATTAGGTCCTTCATTAATTCATTCAAAAGTTATTTGCCACAACTGTGTGAAAGCTGACTGTTTGTTGTTGTTCCCTCAGATGGGCCCTGTGGTATTTCAAAAATGACAAAAGCAAAAGCTGGACGGAAAACTTGCGTCTCATTTCCAAGTTTGACACAGTGGAGGACTTCTGGGCGTGAGTATTCTTTTCCTGTGCACTCAAATCAGCTTTTCTATCACTGCTCCTCCCTGAAATTGGACAGCATGGTGTTCCCACGCTAGAACACGTTTCATTCATTCTTTAATTTGGGAAAATGATCCAATCCCCATGACAAAAAAAAAAACTTTGCGATTTATATATTTGACCTAAATTGTTCTTTCTTTGTTGTGCTTGTACACTAAGATGAAGGAAAATGAAGCACACTTGTATATAAATGTATTAAACATACATACTGATCTTCAATTAGTAACATCACATATATCGTAATCTCTCATGTATAAAATGCTCCCCCCCCCCCTCCCTAAAATCCTCATTAAAAATCGTAGGTTCGTGTTATACTTGCGTAGGTACAATGAAAATTACCGTTTGTCACGTTATATAAAAATATCCCGGTACATAGGGGTTGTGAAAAAGTACACAAGT